TGTGATTGTGATTATAATCTTTTCATGTTATCAATGCTATTATAATTATCACTTCGTTTATCATCATAAGGATAATTGGTATCTTTGTTTTCATCTTCATCATCATGTAGAATGCCCAAATATAACTTTTAAAAACTCTTGGTACATAATTTCGGTGGATGGAGAGCCCTGGTACTGGAGCAGAGACACTTGCTCAAGTCTAGGCGGGGACCTAGTTTCCATTGAAACCCAAGAAGAATGGAATTTGATTAATGACGAAATTCAAAGGCGAAACACTACGAACTATGAAAATAAATGGAGAATTGGTTTAAAAAAAAGGGCTAGGAATTGGACCTGGGTGAGTGGAAGACCGCTGACTATTTCCAAGTGGGGACAAGGGGAGCCAAGTGGTGAACAATACGTGGCTTTCATGTACAAGAGGTTCCGTAATGGTGAACGGGGCGTGTTTGGAACTTATAATAATGAAAGTTGGAAAAAACAGCACGCTTATATTTGTGAGATCCCTAAGGGTGAGTTGATATGTTGTTGTTTTTTTCCTTTTTTGTATTGTTATTTTGAGTAAACTCAAAGGCACTAGAAGCGCTTAAGGGCAATAAACACTTATTTGCCAACGTTTGTGGTACTCACGAGAGAAGTTATAAAAACCCTCAGACAGTCAGAATCAAGGTTACACTTACCTATGCGTAAATTAAAATATGTTTGAAACAATCTCAATGAACGTTTTCACGATATACGTCTACCTTCAACCTTGTGAACTGGGGAAAGTTACAGATGGTTCTTTTATTATCACTTTTACGAATAACAACGGTAATGAAACTGATGGTGAAGACCAGTTGCAAAGAATTCTCAGTCCAATTGCTTTGTTAGATGATAACACATGATGATGTGAAGTGGGTTATCTTTTTGTGAAGAGCTTGTGACTCATATCGGTTGAGAACCATGCCAATTATCGTCTTCTGAGACAAATTGTTCTTGAGTGGAAAATTCACTTTTAGCAGCCATTGGTCTCATGTGAATTTTCTTCGGTAGTGTTGGATAATGCGTTTCGAATATCTGATAAAATGCTGGGTGTTTAGAATGAAATGACACGTGAAGTGTAAACATTGAGTGAATCTAATGAGGCCAAATGGAATTTTATTGGTGGAATACAATCCAAGCAATTACCAAATGTTCATCCAGTGCAATGATTGGGTATATTTTGATTGGACTTCGAACGTTGTTTTCATAGTACGCGACGGAAGTAAGCTTTTTCAGTGGCCGTTGTATGGAAAGGAGCGGATAAAATGCTTTTAAACTAAAAAATGATACAACAAGTTAAATGCGAACCTTTCATATCCTGATAAATTTCAACCTACATCGACAAGGCTCTTGCGAAGGCCACGAACCATTTCATTTACCAAATGAGTTCAAAATTTCAGGTTAATGTAATTCTTTGCGCACGGCCCTCTGATTCCATAACATCATTTACAAGAAAACAATACCAAAACGCTGTGATTGGGGCAAGATATCCAAATGTTATGATGTGATTGGTGCGGGATATATACCCTAATGTGGCAGTCGGATTGGTGTGAAATGCATGCAAAGAAAACGGCAATCTGATCGCTGCGAAATACATACCCTAATGCGGCAGTCTGATTGCTGCGAGCAAAATACCACTCTACGCCCAAAACAAAGTACAACAAATAACACGTTCTTAGAAAAGTAAAGCTACAAAATGAATGAATTGACAAAAGCCATTATTTGTTAATCTTTTCCTCTCACAGTGGTGTTAACAGTGGAGATGGTCAGGGTATTTGTGATGTATTCCAATAGTGTCCTCTGGCATAGCACACATCAATCAGTTTTCATGTCGAAGATGGAATGTTTTGCGAAACGTTCCCCTTTAAACACTGTTGTATCGAGGAAAGTGATGTAGTTCTCTGATATTTCAGCCGTGAATTTAATAGTAGGGTGGAAACAGTTGTGCGATAAGCTGGAGTAGTGTCTCCTAAAAGGCTAATGTTCTCTCAGTAAGGCCGTCACAACCTGAGATCATAGGTCTATCGACCGGTATAGGTTTTTGTATTTTCGTGAGCGTATAGAATATTGATATTCTGAGCGGATTGGGAGTTTGAGAAGCCATTTCTTAGTCATGTCATCAATGTTTTTGCCCAGATTTGGTTAATGATCTCATTAAACCTTTTCCGCGTGCTTTTTACTGAGAGGTTTGTAGTGAATTCTACTACTCTGCTGTCGCGTTGCAATTTTGACCTCCTCTATCTTTTTGTCTTATTTGTGATGACTGTTGTTGCACCTTTGTCTGCTTTTTTGAGGT